AAAATGTATTATTGTTGATTGCGTCATTTTTGTGATTAAGTTAAGTTCAAACAACATGTACGCTTTTTAACAGAATCTGGCAACCCTACCTTTATCACTCAGTTTTGCACGTTATTATCTTTAGTCATCAATACATGGTAGACATTTTATTTCTACCATGCGTCAATATAAACAGTCCTAATATATGTTAAAACGTCGGCCATAATTAAAAATATGAAATAAATAATTTATTTTATTTAAGTTTGAGTTAGTTTTTATTAAAATGTTTAGTTTATTTATGTATATGTTTAAAAAACATTGTTTATGTTTTTAATAAAAAGGAGCATTTTTATATTTATAAGTGGCTTTTAATTCTCCCACAATTTATATAAAGATATATATATATATATATATATATATATATATATATACTAGATTGTATAATATACAAACTAAATGCACTTTTACATTTTATACAATTCGAAATGTATTGTTACATTCCGAATTTTGTGTAAAATGTAAAAGTGCATTTAAATGTAAATCTTTGTACATTTCAAATGTAAAATTAAATTAAAAAAGTAATATAATCTTACATTTAAAAAGGAAAAACACATTTAGAATTTAAATTTATATTAAACATGTAATAATAAATTCAAATGTAATATTTTGGTTAACAACATGGCAACAAAATAACCAATATTGCTTACCGGAAATTTACATGATTTTTTTTTCAGTGTAGCTGATCTCGCCAACCGCCAGAGAACTGGCAAGTGGCAACGGGTATTCCAGTATTAAATTTGCTAATTGTGACTTGCGTTTTAGTGTTAAAGAAAAATGTTTATTTTTAAATTAAAATTTAAAAATAAATGCAAATATTGCAAAGTTGAAGACTCTGCTTTATATGCAGATATTGTTGAACTAGGTAAGATAAATATTATACATTCTTATTTAATTCATCATTCATGGGAGATTTTTCATAATGGCGGGTTTATACAACTTCATATTAATGCATAAATATTAGTCGATAGGTAAATTATAGTAGCTAATGAGATTAACTTTTATGGTTTATACGCTGTTTTTGAGATTATTGTTGCTGTTTCTATTATTTTACAGCTTTGACTTCCCAGTTTGTAATAGTTCATTATGTTGATTTTGAATAATGTTTGAATCAAACAGTTAGATTGTTTTTTTGATTTTGTGAAGCGATTTACAAGTTTTATAAGTTTTAAGAATGCTTTTTACTAAAACAAATCGTCCATTAAATAAGTGAATTGTATAGGTACATGGTGGTAAAAAATCAAAGGGGTTGTAGGCCACAAAGGTTCACAAAGTGGCGAATCTGAAGACGCTAAAAAACGATTCGAAAAAATTGCTTTTTTGCATAGCACAAATCTTTAGATACGCCACTTTCAAGTGGCACTTTGTGAATTTAGGAACGATGAGTCCTAAAGGTCTTTACATTTTTTGCTACAGGTTTGGAAAAGTATGTTTTAAAGTGTTATTTTTTAATATCTCCAAAAACACTTTGGAAGTAACAATTTTGGTGTGTAATTTTAGGATAAAAAAGTACACATTTTATTTTATTGCTTTACTAGTGGCGTCTCTGCCTACAAGTCTTTTGATTTAAAAAAAAGTGGTACCCGACTGACATTTTTTCATGGGAATAATTTTTCTAATTAGCCTGTTCAATTCTACATATATGTTTGAATTACAAGCAGGTAGCGGAGGCACAGTAAAATGGTTATTGTGTGTGGGTTAGGGTAAGTGTAATTTTTTTAATTTTGAAATGCTCTACCTTCAATAAGTTTGAGTCTATTAGTGGCCAATTATTTTTAAAATATTTTGGCACTATCCGCTTCCAACTGGAATATTTTTGGATAAGTTGAACGCTTAACTCATCCCCAAAGGTTGGAGGCAGAAGATGTCGTAAAAAAGAGTAGCCTTTAGCAAGTGTATTATTGACCAGTCTAATCAAGCCTTTAGCAAGTATTGACCAGGCTAATCAAAATAAATATCCCCATGAAAAAATGTCAGTGTAGGTACCACTTGTTTTGTAAAATATTAATTAAAAAAATAATTTTAAAAGTTAGGCCAACTCCAGATATTAAAATATTTTATGATGAATGGAGGATACAGGTACACAGACATTTAAAAAATATTATTAATTAAGAAATAAATAAAAAGTCAAAAAAGCAAAATAAAAGGTATTTTAAACAATATTTTTAAATTAATTTAAATTAGATAGGTAAGCCTGAAAGCACAGGGTCGTCTTACGTAATAGGAGTAATTTACCTATACATAATATTACATATTACATACAGGGTGTTTCAAAAAACATGCTGGAGATTCGTCATACCCAAATAAGAAAAAAATTCATATAAACGTAGGTTCGAAAATGCTTACTTTTCAAGATTTAAAAAAATACGGCTTTTTTTAAATATCTTAAATATCCTTTTCCCGATTTTGTTAAAGTTTGACAACCTTTTTGATGCTGATAAGAAGCTAATTTTGCTTTTGCTTCCTTAAAATTTTATTGACCAGTGGCGTCCCGGGAAGCACTTTAACGAATATTACTCGTATTAATTAAAAAATGTGCGTCACAATTTTAACATCCTGTATCTTGAAAACTAAGCATTTCCGAACCTACGTTTATATGACTTTATTCTTATTTTTGAATGACCAATCTTCAGCCGATCGTTGGCGCATGATTTTTGAAACAACCTGTATACAATGACAATGTTTATACATATTATCAATAATATGTTTAGCAAAGACAAAATTTGAACTTGATCCCGATTTGGAGATACACTTTACGGATGAAGAAGATACAATTATTGAAGAGGATTGCATTCTGGACTTCATTAATATTTGTACCAATGCTGTGGCCCTCTTAATAATAAAAACAAAAAGTGATGAATTGACTGCTGATGGTGTTTTTTCATCTTCAACCTCAACACCTCAATAAACAGCAACACATCTTCAGCGGAAGCAATGGGTAGTGATATCAGATCCACAATTAACCATTGATACTCTAGGACCGGATAATAATCTTAATGTTGAAGAAATAAGCGCCGATGTGATGGAATCCATCACATCCTTTTTAATCCCATTCGAAATCCCTTCATGTTCTAGATTCACTGAGAATACTTTGGGAAATCAATCAAAAATTGTTAATGCAAAGGTGCCATTAAATTGAAACCTTTTAAAATTTTGACTTTGATATTACCCTTTCAGGATTTAGCTATATATCTAAAAAAAATTGTGGACAACATATATTTGATGAATACCAGCTGTGGTAGAAAATTTTCCGAATTTAAAAGACCCTGATAGTAACGTAAAGGTGGATATGTAAGTCTTACTTGGATAATTATTTCCTAACTAATATTAAAATATTAACTGAATTAATAGGAAGTATTCTATGATGGAAATCGTAAAAGAAAATGTTTTGATTTAAATGATGATAATATAAAGGAGCCCGTCCCAAAGAAAATACTTATTTTGACAGAAGAGGACGAACCAACAATTCAATTTTTAAAATTTGCCTGTCCATCAACTCAAAAATACGAATTTTTTTTGAAAATGAAAAACACTTTTGAATTTAGAAAAAAAAACTACATTTTCTCTTGATGATTTTCCAAGATTTTTAGATAGTCCTGTCTTAGTAAAATAATGTAAAATAAGTCTTATATTTGCCATGCTAATAGCTTTTTATATTTTAGATTGAACAAGACTTTACACTTAGATTTCCAGAGGCTCAAGATTTTGTGCAAGAGTTTAAAAAACAGGCTAAAAATATCCTTAGTATTTATGAATCTGTAAGCTGCCAGAAGCTACCTGTAATTTTAAGCACATCAGATTCCGTTACAGGTAAAATATAACACATAATTTAATTAAATGACTAAAAAATATAGAAGTGAAAAAAAAGATTTTTGTATTAGAAAATATTGCTTGGTTGTAATAGATCAAAATTGCAATGAGTTTTAAATTGGTTCTTTCATAAATTTCACTGGTCTACAAATTAAAGGAAAAAAATTGACTGGAAAAAATGAGGATGTTTTCTAACTAATTTAAGTGCGCAAAATTTAAATTTACCGCTAAAATTGTGCTATCAGGTCTAGTTCTTTTTATGCCGCATGGTGGCACTACTGTAAAATAATTTGACGGAAACCGACATTTCTTATCTATCCCTATAATAATAGTGCTTAAGTATGTCAAGTAGATCGTGTGTTACTAATCCAAGCTATTTCTGCTTTGTCTGTGGTGAATATATAGTTGAAAAAAACATGTATATTTACATTTCTTTGGTTTTGCTGTCAGAAATTTAGACAAAACTTGGACACCGACACTGTTTTGCAATAGTTGCAGAGCTATTTTATACGAGTGGTCGAATGGCGAAAAAAAATATTTCGATTTTTCAGTTCCAGTAATATGGGCAAAGGCAAAGAAATCACCAAACCGATTGTTATTTTTTTTAAACAAAAGTTGTTGGGATCAATATGAAAAATCGATGTTTCAAAACTAGTTCAATTGAACGTTAACGTTTAGCAAATGCTCCATTGCCAGTCGTTCCTAGTACTACAAGCAGTGATTCGGAAACCTGGGTGCGGTGAGCGATGAACAAAGAGAACATGTACATCAAGATTTAATGAAAATTGAAAGAAATTATCAAGGATTTTGGGACAAAAGTATGCTGGGAGATTATTGCTGGACTCTAATTCGTGAAACTGTCCCAGAGAAATACAAACGATGTTCAAACACTGCGATCTACCATTGAAATTTCCTTTATTTGTGAATAAATTTACCATCTTGTATTAAAAACATAGAAAAACAATGATATTTTATATTTCGGAAACCTGACCTGATAAGAGAAAAACAGTTACAGATTCAAATTCAGCGCACCAGATTACCTTACAAACTCCATTTGGTTGCTCAAGTCCAAAACCTTGTATACCAGTGTTTTAGGTTGGGATATTTAATAAATATCCCAACCTAAAATTTATGAAAGAAATATTATTTATACAATGGCTTTGTTTGCTATTATACATATGCTACCGCCTACGGCTAAAGGCAAAACTTTTACTTCAAGGCCTTCTCTGGAGCAACTTTTTGAAAGACTTGTTCAATTTTGCAAGGTAAGTTTTTATTTAAATCTAATAATATTATAATATATACAGGACATCAAATTTGTAGATTGCTGAACCTTTGGAGGAAATTACCTCAAAAAAACAAGGGCATCAGCGGTATCTTATTGCCATAGGAGCCAATAAGGCAGCAGTTCATGACTACAAAGTTTCTTTAGATGGCAAGTTTTTAGAAACTGGCACATCTTGTGTGGTAACTGCTTTTGATATTTTAATAAAAACCCATTTTGTTTTTCAAACGAAGTTTGCCGATGGACTAGAAATTTTTTTTTGTTTTGTACAGCATTATTTTTATAAAATTGAACATGTGGTCCTAACCACTAAAATGTGTGAACTGCACAATAGACTTATAAACTATGAAAACCAAAATTAAACATGCAAAATTTCTTAAAATTATGATAATTTGTTTTGTTATCTACTATTATATTTATCTTTTATTTTTAATTATTATCATTAAGATTATAGGTTAAATGACTTTGAGTTGCTTTGTGTGTTTTACAATATATTTAAATATATCAGAATTAATTAAACATATAAGATTTTTGCATTATCCAGTCGAACATAAAGATATTCAACTTAAATGCTGCGGAAGTCAATGCCCGCCAATATTAAAAACTTTCAGTGGGTATAGAAGACATTTAAGCAAATGTCCATTAATTAAATGTAGCTTTTCGCCTCTAAAAATTGAAGTTCCTGAAACTCCTTATAACGTCGGCGTTGCATCATTTCAGCAATCAGACCAGGAAAAACTCACTGACTTTGGTAATGAATCCATAAATAGTGCTGGTTTTGACGATATTTCAAATGATTTTAACCCTGAAAGAGCTGCTGACACTATAAATTACCAACTGGTATCTTTTATTTCCAATCTTTTATCTATGGGAATACCTATCTCTACGGTTTCAATGATAACTGATAATTTTAAAGAAATAATAAATTTAATTTTTTATGAAGTTCAAAATGTTATTTCAGAGCAAGTAAAAGACGATTGGCATTTTTTTTTTGAATAAAGTTTTTTCATCTTTTAAAAATAAAATTTCGGTTTACCAAAAAAAAAACTTTTTTAAAAAATATAGTTAAACCTAAAGAGATTGGTCTTGGTCTAAGAATTGACCAAGTTTTTAATAGGTCAAAAAATGTGTATATTCAAAAAAATGTAACCAATACATTTATGTACATTCCCATTTTAGAAACACTTTCGGCCCTTTTAAAAGTAATAAGTCAGTACAACCTTTTTTTACAAAAGCCAAACCTCCTTTAAAAAATATTATGCTTACTACTTTCTCAGATGGTTTTAACTACAAGTGTTCCAAGTTATTTCAGTTACATCCTAATGCTATTCAAATACAACTATATTTTGATGAATTCGAGTGCGCTGCTCCATTAGGTTCAAAAACTGGGTCACATAAAATAGGTGGATTGTACTTTATCATTAGAAGTGGATAGCGTTACTGGAAAACGATCCAAGCGACAAATTCAAAGTTTCGAGTTATTACCACCAGGTGACCTGATAAAGCTTTATTTGTTTACTAAAAAAAGATCCAAGCAATTTAAGTACTCTAGCGGCCTCTATTAACGCGCGAACCAAACGACACTGTGTGATTTTAAGGTCTTAAGTTTCAAGAAAACAACTCAAGCGACAGGTTGGCGCTTGGCCCTTTTCTAGTGTTTAAGTATAATGCGTTGGTTCTTTCTATGCAGTGAAAAGTTTCCACAGTTAGAAATTGTCCCAAAGTGTAGTTGTTTTGTGTGCTGTTTAAAATAATTATTAACTACGAGAAGACATGTCTAACAGAACCAAACAAATGCTATTATTGGCATTTCAAGAATCTGCAGATAATAAACAGCAAAAACAGGTGTGTAATTAAATATTTTTGAGGTTATAATTTCCCGAAACTAATTTATATTAAATTTACCGGTTTTTTTTAACCATATTTTAGTTACTGTGATGTTACTTATTAATAATAAATTATATATTGTCAAACCCATTCCGAACTATTCATCGTATCTGTAAAATTTACATAAATGGCGTTTGGTTCTTTTTAAAATCAACCTAATGTCGTTTGGATTTATTAATTTTTTTTATGTTTTTCTCAGAACATTTCTGTAAAAACCAGACCCGTAAACGACAGGGTCACTGATGATTTATCTGAAAAAGAAAATACTTTTTTAACAACACATGAGAATATAATGATTGCAAATCAAGAATCTTTGATCCAGGATGCTGTTAAAATAAAGGTATGCAGAAAATAAATCATTAATAGCAAAAAGTAGGTAATTATTCTGATTTTTTTTAGGACAAACAAAGGAAACCAGCAAGCGTATTCAATTTTAGTTCTGATAAAGACAACACAATTGAAAACACTTCTCCTCAGCAAGGACTCTCCAACGTAAAAAAAAATTATACGTCAGTAACTAAAAACAAATATGATTTGGAAAAAAATCTGGATAATACTTCTGTAAGTTTTTGTTTAAAAAAAAGAAAATAGGTGATAATATTAACTTGTGTTTAAGGATGAACAAAAAAAAACTTGAATTGGAACAATTTACTGATTTCGAGGATTCCGGTAGCGAATTTGATCCGAATGAAGAAGAAAGTACTTTTTCATCAAGCGATAATATTATGTCAAGTGATGATTCAGAGACAATAGAGAGAAACCAACTGTTAAAACAGGAAAGGGAGAATTGGAAAGGCAGACCAAAGAAAGGTAGAAAAACTAAGTATCCGGGCCAAACTTTTAAAATTAGAAAGCAGTTAAAAAACTCAAATAAAACGCATTACACGGTAAAAGGAAAACTTGTAAAAGGAAAAGAATTTACAGATTTTAATTGCAATTGCTCTTTAAAATGTACGGAAAGGTTACCAATTAATGTGAGACAGAATTTTTTTGAAAAGTTTTGGGCGCTTGGTTCCTATGAAACACAAACCACTTTTATTGCTGCTACTGTTAAACAAGAAGGAGTTAAACGTAAACGAAATTTAGCAAGTGTAAAGCGGTCATTTACAAGAACTTATAAATTTAATGATGCTATTGTTTGCCGAAATATGTTCATTAAAACATTACAAATATCAACAAAAAGAGTAGACACTGCTTTAAAAAAATTTTATTTGGGAAATATACAAGATGGAAGAGGTAAATTCGGGTGTGTTAATAAACAGCTGCCAGAAGACACAAAAGCTAAAGTTATTACCCATATTGCTTCTTTTCCTACTTATGTATCACACTATTGCAGAAATTCAACCGAATCAAGATTTTTACCAATGGATTTAACTCTAAATAAAATGTATGAACTTTATAAAGCAGAACCATCTAATCCTAAAGTCGCTTTTTCTACTTACAAAAAAATGTTCTACTTAAACTTTAATTTAAGAAGAAAGCCGCCTATTAAAGATACATGTAACCATTGCGACAAATTTGTAACAAAACTAAAAAATTCGAATAATGAGGTTACATTAGAAATAAAGGCTTTACATGATCAACATTTAGACGAAGCAAAACAAGCTAGAGTTATGTTAAAAAGTGACTTACTTCTTGCGGCTGAAAATGGTAAAGTAGAAACACTAACGTACGATATGGAAAAAGTGTTAGGACTTCCAAAGTTACCTACCAATATAATTTATTATAAACGTCAACTTTCCATATACAACGAAGGCATTTATAAAGGATCTAATAATGAATCTTACTGTTTTGTTTGGAAAGAGGGTATAGCTGGTAGAGGAGCTCAAGAAGTTGGTTCTTGCCTAAAATTTATGATTGACAAATACGTTGCACCAGAAGTTGAACACCTTATTCTTTGGTCAGACTCATGTGGCGGTCAGAACCGCAACATAAAGATAGTTTTATTTTTAAAAACCGTTCTGGAGTCTCACCAATCATTAAAAAGTATATGCTTCAAATACCTTGTTCCGGGACACAGCTATTTACCTAATGACTCCGATTTCGGTAAAATAGAAAGAGCACTAAAAAATCAACTTAGGGTCTACACTCTTCAAGAATTTAAAAACATTGTGCTATCTTGCTCAAAGAAAAGAAAATTCGTAGTCCATGAAATGGAAAAAGAAGAGTTTTTGAGTACAGAAGATCTTGAAAAACTAATAACAAACAGAAAAACGGATACCAAAGGTGAAACAATAAGTTGGTTGAAATCAAAGGAAATTAAAATTTTAAAAGAAAAACCATTTTCCATTTTCTTAAAATACACACACGAAGATGTGGAGTTCATAGAAGTTGATATAAAAAAAGCAACCCGTGGACGGCCCCAACTTTTAAAAACCCCAACCTTTGCCATAAACTTAAAAGTTTTATATCCAGAAGGAAAGACGATTTCGGATAAAAAATTGGCTGACATTAAAAGTTTATTGTCAGTCATTCCTAAAGACGTTCAATATTTTTATCAAAACCTAACTTCTACGAATTTTGAAGATGATGTGGACGGCTTTGGTGAAACTATTGATTTTGAGGTTGAAGAAAATACAGATTAGACAAGGGATGTTGCTGCGCGTAAAGTACCTTTTATTATAATTTTTTGTTTACGTTTTTTAATTTAAGGTTTAATGTGTTACGTTTAGTACATTTTTTTTTAATTTTATGTTTTTAATGTTACGTTTAATAAGTTTTTGTAATGTTACATTTAATACGTTTTTTTAATGTTACGTTTTATGTTACCTTAATAAAAAATCTTATGTTAAAAGATTCATACGGTAGTATTATTTATTTAAAAGGAACCAGGTTCATAAGTTATTAAAAGTTATTAAAAATCCACACGCCTATCAGATTTAAATTTAAATGGACCCAAACGCCAAAATGCTGAAAAATGACAGAAAATAATAATATATATATTTCGTACTGTGATACCAAAAATATAATAGCATATATAATACAAAAATATACATTTGAAATTTATTGTTGTAAAGCCTGATTTTTCAAAAGCCTACAACTTTGGAGGACATTTTCTCAAAATATCAAAATGGTAGTTGGATCGTTTTCCAGTAACGCTGTCCAAGTATTCCAACAAAATTTTTAGGGCAGTTATAAAACATTTTTTTAGCGGGGCTATTTTATTCTGCAGACTTAAAAACGCTTTCATTTAATAGCGTTTTAAGACCTATAATCGAAGATATAAAAATTTTGAAAATGAAGGTATTGATGTAGACTTTCTGCCCTATAAGCTTAAGGAACTTTGGTAGCCTTAATTCACGACAATTTAGGTGGTAATACAATATATCGAATGGTTGAATCTTTTTCAGCCAACTATTTCTGCCGAATATGTTTAATTCATAAATCTGATATCCAGAAAGTATTTTTGGAGAAAGATAATCTTTGTATACTGAGAACTACAGAATTTTACAAAAATATCCCAGACACAATTTAGGCAGGAACAAATTATTTTGGAGTTAAAGAATTAAACATCCTAAATGCAGGGGCGTAGCGAGCCCCCCATGACTGGGGGGGGGGTGAAACACTCAAAATTGCCGACTGATAATTTATAATTTGCTGACTTGTTTACTGACTAACTAGATATAATTTTTAAAATTTGGGTAATTTTGAAAATCAATAAATAAAATTAACTTAAAATTTATTTCCTATTTATTTTAAAATTATTTTGCGTGTGTGTGTAATATAACATATTTGTTTTTAATTGAGGAGTGATTTTTCAAAAGGTCTTATTTCCATTTGCAACAATTTTTCAAAAAAATGACTATAACCTGTATAGGTTAGGGCAATATAGATTATTTAAAAAAAATCTGATGAATATTTAATAATACTTCAGACCTGCTATCATATTTTGCCTTTAATATATGCCTTTTAACCATACCTTTGTCAAAAAATTACATTCAAGTAAAAATGGAAATAAGGCCTTTTGAAAAATCACTCCTCAATTATGATAAGTATTAAAATTATTATAACTTAAGGTATATTTTTATGTTTGAACTTGACGAAGTTTTAGTTTAGACCGTATTTTTAATAGTTTTTCCAAATCAATTTTATCCTTTTCAGAATATAATATCATAAGTAAATTTAAACGGTCGTCACCCATCGTAGTTCACAAATGATTGTATACTAATTTAAGTTTACTAAAAGAACGTTCGCTGGACGCTGACGTAACGCGTGATGTTAATACTAAATGTACCATTTTATAAGCCGTGGGAAGAATATTCTTTAGGCTAAATGCCACTTTTGTCATCAAAGTTTTGGCACTCTTTACATCGATCTAAAAGAATTTCCAATTCGGCATGGATGCCTTCCGGAACTTCCTTAATAAATTGAATATTATTTTAGGGACTTTATTAAAAGATAACTAATTAAATATGTTCTTTTTGTGAAATTTACAATGTGAATTATAACAGTTAAGCGAAAACTATAATTTTTTATTATTTTTTAAAATGTTTTTTTAAGAAATTTTGCCGACTAAAAACCAAAATGGTCGAAAATGCCTACTAAACAAAATAGAGGGGGGGTGTGACAAAAACCCCCCCACGCCCCCCTTGCTACGCTCCTGCCTAAATGAATTAACATATTTTAATGTAAGTAGTTCATCATCGGTAGATGTTATGCACGATATATTGGAGGGCGTGGCGCAATTTGAAATTAAACATTTATTAACTTATATAACATCTAAAAAAATAATTAGCCTTGAAGAAATTAATCGCAGAATATTTTTTTTTAATTATGGGAAAATTTACCGCTGTACAAAACCTAGCCCTATATAACTAGAAAAAACTGGTCATAATATTGGTCAGCGCCAGACATCAAACCCAAAAGACCCGGTAATTCATTCATAAATAGCAAATAAACATGAGCCAACATCACTTTAGGACAAGGTGTGTAGAGCAGTAAGTAAGGGGGAGTAAGCTGCTAGACCCCCACTCTAAAGCATGGAACACAATGAGACGGCGCGCGACGGCGTTCGACGGCGTTAAATGTCAAACCAAAGTTGAAACAATGCAAATGCATAATACCGCACACAATGCACGGCGTTGAACGCCGTCCAATGCTGACAGTTGCTCAACTTTCTACTTTTACGTCGGCAACGCTGGAAACCTAACCCCATTTTCTGTCAAAAAGCGTCATATGTATGTTTTGCCGCTTATGTTCTGTGTTTTGTCTGTTGTTTTTTCTTTATCTCTGGTTGTTGGTTGTTTTCATAGATTAAAAAAATTTAATCTATGGTTGTGTTCTTTTAATCTTACAAGATGAACATTAAAAAAGTTATTTCTTCCTTAAAGTCGATGGAAGATTTTGATGAAAACCTAATTCAACTAGTTAAAGACAATGAAATTTTATATAATAAAAGATGTAGTGGCTACAAAAATATTATATTAAAAACCAGAAAGTGGCAGGAAATAGCTGAGGCTTTTGGCTCCACAAGTAAGACTTGTGTAAATGATTAAACAAAGTACTACAATTATTATATATATTATATTCTAGGTGAAGAATCCATAAGAAGATGGAAATCGTTGCGGGATCGGTTTACGAGAGAACTAAAAAAGGAAAATCTACCTTCTGGTAGTGGGGCAAAGAACCATCCAACATGGGACCTCTTAACAAATTTAGATTTCCTACGAGATCATGTAGCCCCCCGAAGGTAAGCCTGATTTATTTTGCATAATTTGTGGTAATGAATTTTCTTCCAGTACATCTGGTAACATGAACCCAGAGGTCGTTTCTGAAAGGCCAGAAACGGAAGAGGAAACGATGGAGGAGGCAACAGGGCAACTAGAATTTGAGGAAACTTGTGAATCCCCTTCCTACAGCTCTAGTGGTTTGTCAACCCCAAGTACGTCGGGTACTCAAAAAAAAAAAAAAAACAAGACTGGAGGAGGTAAACCGAGCATTTACTGAAGGAGTGGCTTCTTTTCAGGAATTTGTTAAATCAAAAATTACCCCTCCTCCAGTCCAAACATCTGGCGAGAAATTTGCTCAATTAGTGGCTAATATGTTTGATAACCTTACTGAAAGGCACCAAAAACAAGCAAGGGTGGAAATCATGAAATATTTGGTATCATTAGAAGAAGACGAATTAAATAAACTGAATTAAAATTTAACGTTACTGTACAGTAAACCTTTATTTTAAAAAAATAAGATTGGATATACAGGTTGTTAATAAATTAGGCAAAGATAAAAATGCTTCAAGAAAGAAGTCTTATTATTGTTTTTTATAAAACGTCATTTATAATTTAAAATAAAGACTAAATACAAAATTTGTAATAAAATTTCCATTTTTTTTTCATACGAAATAGTCATGGTGGTTTTGTACTATTATTTGCTGTAACAAAAAATCAAGATAGCTGATTTGGTAAGTGTTAAAGTCTGTCTGTATGTGCATTGCGTTGACACTACAGCTACAACAAATAATCGCACAAAACAACTATGATTATTCTACATGAAAAATATTAAAATTGTTATTCAAATTTAGTATTTTGCCTTTATTTTAAATTATAAATAATTTTGATTTATAATCATACTTCTTTCTTGAAGCATTTTTATGTTTGCCTAATTTATTAACACCCTGTATATACATTCTGATTTTTTAATGAAAAACTCATTTTTTTGAAGAAGCAAAATCATTTTATATTTTTTTTCATATTAAAAAATTACAAAAAAAACCAATTTAAATTTTCTTTTATTCCCTTATAACACCCCCTACATCACAACATATTGCTGCAACGTTGCAGCAATATTGCTACATTGCAGTTGCTCGGCAACATTCCAACAACATAACTGAAATCTTAAGTTGTCGTGCAATACTGCAGCAACCTTAAGATTTCAGTTATGTTTTTGCAATGTTGCCCAGCTACTGCAATGTAACAATATTGCTGCAACATAGCAGCAATTTGTTGTGCTGTAGGGGATATTATTCTTAGTAAGTAGATAAATTTTTAGGTAATTACTTTGCTAGTGTGAAATAATAAATTTATTGTATTAAGTAAACTTTATTGAAAAATATAGCATTTTTTACTCATCAATTAAAACTTTAAAACTAGTGCTTCAGCTTAAGATCTGTTGTATTGAAACGGAACTGCACCTTCGGCCAAGAAATAATCAGCAAGATTTTCTCTTAATTCAAATGCACTACGTGCTGCATTATTGGATCCAAAACGTGCCTGACGAAGTGGACCTGTCTCTTGTCTCCATTTTCCCAATTGAATATTACCATCATCATCTTCCCAATCAATGTAGTTAGGCGGCATGTAGGTTTGGCTCTTAGAATTTAACATTATGAAATTATGCAATGCAATGCAGGCCAAAGTAATTTTTTCAGCGTTGTTTGGAAAACACTTTATTGATGTTTTCAAAATTCTCCATCTTGCTACCAGAATTCCAAAGCTATTTTCAATTATGCGCCTTGCTCTAGACAACCGATAATTAAAAATACGTTTCTTTTCATTCAAAAGATGACCTGGAAATGGTCTCATGATGTGCGGTTTTAAAGGGAAAGCAGCATCCCCAACAAAGTAATATGGAAACTTTTTTCTGGACCCAGGTAAATCTCTGTCTCTTGGCAATGGTAATTGTCTACTTAATAATGCCTTGCCTACTGGAGAATTGTTTAATATTCCTACAATAAAAACAGTATTAAAGCAAAACAGATATTGTTCAAAAGCTGGATGCACAAACCTCCATCACTTTGGCTCCCATATGCGCCTACATCTACATGTGTAAAACAATATTTGGCATCACAAATTGCCATAAGGACTATACTGAATGTTTTTTTATAGTTAAAGAACATTGAGCCGCTCTTTGGAGGACATTCAATCTCTATGTGCTTCCCATCAATGGCACCAACACAATTAGGCATATTCCATTTCTCCCAAAAATCATGAGATATTTTTTTAAAATCTTTATTATTTGGAGGACTAACATACAGTGGTGACAAAACTTCCCAAAGTGCCTCACAAGTTTCCAATATAATTTTTCGAACTGTGGATTTGCCCATTTGGAAACTCCATGCCAAAAATTGATGAGACACTCCTTGTGATAAGTATCTGAAAAAATCTGCTATTTGGTGGAAATGAACATTATCCTAATATTAAAAATTACGTTAATGTTACTGCCAAACGGCATTCGAAGTTAATTGGAGTTCTGATTGATGATTTTGTCAACTTTTCTTTGAGTAGGGACAATAATAAATCGTAAACATCTCTGTCCATCCTTGTGTGTTTAAAAAACTGTTCCGGGTCACGCTCTTTCATTTTTTTGTACATTTTATTAAAGTATCCAGATTCATCTCGATCTTGGTATATTTCTCTCACCCACCATCGTCTTGTACGCCGTTCCGCTTCAGTATTACTGACGATATACCAATAAGTCAAAAAAAGTATTTGGAACATAACTACTACCATTTCGTCATCATTCATTATAAATTAAAAATTCTTAACACCCACAAACAAAACAAATAATCTCGTTTTTGCAATTATATTTTAGGTTAAATAACCACCATCTGTCAGATTTACTGTCAAATAAATGTCACTCAACGACGTTCAACACCGTCATTGTATGCAGCCAAGATTTCAAAACGTTGCATCGCGTTTGCGTTGCGTTTGACGCCGTCGAACGCCGTCCATTGTGTTCCACCCTTAACAAAGAAGCGCGCGACCAAGCCGCTTACCATAGGCGTAGTCAGGAAATATTATTTATAATAAAATTAATTATTTGAATGTCACGTAATATGGTATTAATTTTTGTTTTCAATGCAAAATCGAAAAATTTTAACATAACTTATTAATTATATAGCAGCATGTACCATAACGTAGTCTACAAACAAAAATAATCTTCATATTGTACTTAATAAAATAAAACATACACACTTAAAACATATATTTTACAAAAAAAAAACTAAAATCATTACAAATATAAGCAAAAACTTGCTTTTCAGAAAATGTTACATAATATTTTAGGTCAATGAAAATATCTAGTTTGGCAAACCCCAGAATATTTTAAAATAAATGAAATAATTTTTCCTTTTTTTAAGAACCTCACCTTGTATTTCACTAATTTATTTATTATTTTCATTTACTAAAAACTATACAAATTATTACCTTTTATTTTACTAATTTATGTTATAAAATGGTATGAGATATTTAAGAAAAAAATTTACAGGAGACTATAGTTAAGGTGCTGGATTTTTGATAATATTTATTCGTGTCTAAATAAAATAGTTTTGGTTAACAAACTTTTGACTCTTGCTTGTTTTGAATCATCTAATTGTTTAAAAGTTTCATGGTTGATTCTCACTTTTCTTTAAGTATTTTATGCCAGTTTTTTTTTACATCAAAATCATTTTCTTCAAAATGATTTAAACAAATATAAGCCAGTTTGGGCATTATTTTATTTTCTTCAAAACCTTATAAAACGAACCAATGCATTTTTCGGTTTCGATGGGTTGGAAACCTACAAACAAATTTTTATTCTTTAAATTAAGTTCAATCCTTTGCAGTATAGGTAGATCTTAACATCCTCAAATATAAATAAATAATAATTATTAAAATTTAAAATAATATAATAAAAAAACTAAATACCGCGGACGCCTATGACAAAGATGTCTAACCTAACATTTTACTTACCGATGAAAGGATAAATTTATATTTAAATAGTCCAGCTTTTTACATACTTGGCACTGTCTCACCATTTTGTAACATAAAATACAATAACAGATATTTTCAAAACACAAAAACCCTTCAAAAAAGTATCGCAAATCGTCAACACAAATGCCGCAAAATAATCATGAATTAAATTCGTAGTACTCGCAGCCAATGCGCCGTTGCCATAGCTTAGGTTTTACAGTGTTTTCTTTGATTTGGTATTAAGTATTTCCTGAATAAAAATATTTGTTAACAATAAAAATATTTGTTAATTTAAAACATGCATGCATAGGTTATATAAAATTTATAAAAAAGGATAGATTGATGATGTTTATAATAACTTTGGATTGAAAGTGATGCTAAACAGATTTTATTTATTTACAAGTGTTTGTCCGGAGAAAATTATTGGCAACAGTGTTCTAGTGTCGCTTAGAATGTTCCTATGTCTTCGCTACAGATATCATGTAAATAATCGGGTCTATTGGGTTTGATGTCTTTGGTCAGCGCGCTGCTCAAACATGGACTCTCACCTTTAATATTTGGTGATATGATTTCAAAAATCGATCAATGTTAATGGAAAATATTGTCAACACTTTTACAAATAATGTGTATATGTTTTTCACCTACCATTCCATTAGAAATGACAAATACATTGGAGAAACTTATTTATGAACATCACACTTTAGTTAAAAGTCATTTTGGACATATTTTACCAAAACATCACTTCATGATACATTATAATGTAATTATAATAATAATTATCCTTCAGTTGTCAGAAAAATGGGGCCACTTATACACCTATGGTGTATGAGGTTTGAGGCTAAGCATGGCTACTTTAAGGACCTTGTAAACAAGTTAAAAATTTTAAAAATCTGCCCAAAACGTTGGCTGAACGACATCAGATGTTTATGCACCACTCCTGGGTTGAAAAAAGTTTGAAAATTAATCTAGATATAGGACCGTCAAAGATCATTTCAATAAGAGATAGTGAGTTTCAAAATTGTATTATAGAAGAATTAGACATATCTGATGATTTTTATGTTACCGAAACAAAATTCATAAAATATGGTTTCATATATAAAATTTTTATTTGTACGTCTGTTGAACAAAACAATCCAAATTTTCAAGAAATTTTGCAAATTTTTTTACTTGACAAAATTCCTTTTTTCGTTGTCAAACTATGGAAAACTGTCCTTTTTGTGAAAACTTAAATTCATATTTAGTCTGTCCTTTAACTGACATAAATGTTATAAATATTCAGTTAATTACTTATCGAGAACCTTATGAGGTTAAACAATTTAAATAATTTTAACACTCTTGGGTGTATTAAATATAAAAGCTGATAGATAAGTATTACACTCTTTAAACTAAGTTAACACTATTGAGTGTATTAAATATACAAGACGATAGATTAATTTTACACTTTATCAAAGTACTTTTACACTCTTGGGTGTCGACATACAGGCGTTAATGGTTACTTTTACACCCTATTATATTACATTTACACTCTTCGGT